GGAATTCATCCAGATGACAGGAAGAAACAATTGCAGCAAACACTTGACCTAATCTTTCTCCTCTGAAAGAGCAACTTGGCCAGTTATTCATTTCAAATCTAGATGAACAACTTCTTATATTTCTAGGTGTAAAAACCTGAGACAGGGTGCTCCTACCTAAGCAGCAGCCAGAAACTTGTAGCTTAGTGTAGAAATGTTGGCCTGGAGGAATACAACATTATGAAATTATGAAACTTCTTTTTCAACACACTTATGGCTGATACCAAAAGCCACTTCCCATCATATGCTTTCCTTCTGTTGTGTTCCGTTATTCTTTGTTTTTGGATTCTCTCATGCATGATACAATACATCAGAGCTTTCCCATTTTACACTTTGTCTGGAGAAGATTGCTCCCATAGCTGTTGAAAGTGGCATTTCCTTGAGGGCTTATGGTGTGAGCAACCTCAGTTTTAATACCACCATAAACAACCCTTCTCACACTCTTGTCAAGTAAACTCTACTCAGGGATAGTGGCAAAAGCAAGCTGGCCTGTGAGTCATGGGAAAGCATAATCCGAGACCGCGTAGTTACCATCAGGAAAATGTCACAGCCCACACTGCACTGGTCAGAAATTCTCCATCAAGCTGCAAGTCTACATCTGCTGTCGTTTGAGGTTCAGCATTACCCCTGATACGGCTGATGAGCAAATTCCTCAAATCTACTGAGGATGATAGAAAAAAAATGAATGTATTCTTAGACGTCTTAGATATTTACTTACTGGGAAATACAGGCTATGGGCTGATGAGTTCAGTGTCACTGAATTAAAGCAGGCTAAAAAAATATGTCAAAGCTCAACAATAGGTCAGGATTCAAAAGAGCAAAACAATTCATTTCCTCATACATGAATGAAATCCACTCACTACTTCACGCAGCACTGTATACACTTCCTAACACCATATGCTTTGTGTCACAACAGTGAATTTAGGAGCAGGTAAAATAAATTAAAACACCTCTAGCTGTTACTTAGATCCCCAAATCTGTTTACCCAGGTTCATGAATATCATTCAAACACGATTTCAGAATATCAATACAAGCAGGCGGAGGACAAGACAAAACAGATTTGTGTGCGTGTACATCAGATATCTAACAGTGAATTTACAGGTGTATTAGTCGCAGACAGTTCTATAACGTCCTGTTAACAGTTTTAACTCAGCCTGCAACAACACACGGGCAACTAACAAGTTTTTTGTTGTTGTTGTTTTTGTTTTAAGACAATTGTTAAGGAGTTTGTTTCTTAAAAAACAAAACACTAATGCCATTTTCTCTCACTGTTAAAACCTGTTCCAAGTGTGGCTCAACTCACCAGCTGTAAAGTGCAAATAAAGATGAGAGTGCACCGTCCGCTGCAGCAGCCCATTGTGTCAGCGGCGAAAACGTGACTCTGTGCCAAAAGGATTTGGAAACTGGTCGGAGGAGCTTTCAGCGTGCCGACCTCAGTCAGTCCTGACCCCAGCACCGGTGTCCCATTCTCCTCCTCTGCTCCAGTGTCTCTCTGCTGAACTACAACACGCCACAAAATCACTCCGGCTGGTCCCAGTCTGCGTGTTCGCTTCCCGGACGCACTTCAGGGGACTGACTGGGTGGATGTTTGAGAGGGGGGATGGGAGGAGGGGGAGGAGGAGGAGGAGGGTTTAGACTTGTTCATTCAAAATGTTTTAACAGAGGTTAATCAATTTATTGCCATGGTTAACAAATACATAAGCCAACTGAAAAGGCAATTAGCAATTAGAATTTCACAAAAAACTGATAGTCTAAAGGAAATTTTAGACGTAAATTAGAGAGGAAATATTCAAACTGGCGCTTGTTAACAATTAATGCTGTTAATGTCATTTTTATATTTAATGTTTGCAGGTGCTTGTTGAGGAGGAGCAAGATCAACTGCTATTAATGCTGCTGATAGAGAGCAGGCGCCATCTAGTGCCTATAATGAGCCACACAAGTTAAAATTATAATAACCTTGGTAATAAAGCGCTGCTCCGTAGCAACAAATGGAGTCACAGGGCAGTGGTTCCCAAACTGGGGGGCGGGCCCTGCGGCAAGGGCTAAATATAACTGAGATGTGGACTCCGGTGGGAGTGGGGCTCAAAAATATTTTCACCCACAAAAGGGTGGGGGAGCAGAAACAGTTTGGGAACCACTGTCATAGGGAATGGTGTGCTATGACTGTTGGTGAGGATCCAATCTAAGCTTTCGTACAAATAACATCAAACTGGAACATCTTTTCCCCACACACTGCAAAGAAAATCAATAAAATTAAAATAAAATTCTTCATACAACTTTGTTCACATTCTATAGTGTAGCAGTCATTTTGCCTGACCCTTTTTCCCCAAATCCTCTTTGCCATGGACAGGGTATAAGACAGTTGACCCCTGGGCACAGACACATAACTCTCCTATACTTCCAGGAGCAAGACCACATAATTTTTAATCAGTTTGTGTTTTTTTGCTGTTGTTTTGTGTGCATTTGTAGTTGCTTTGCATCACTTTTAGCCATTTGGAGTAAATTCTTACTCCTTTTGCATATCTTTGTTGTCATTTTGCACCCATTTTGTGTTTTTTGTGTCTTTCTTTTCAGTTTGTATTTGTTGTATGTCTCTTTTTGTCATTTGGCATATTTTAGGAGTCGTTTGCTGAGTCTGGGGTCTTTTATGTCTCTTTTTAGTGATTAGGCCTTTTGTGTCTGTTTTAAGTGTCTTCGTAGTTATTTAGCATCAATTCTTTCTTGTTTGGTAGTTTTTTATAGTCATTTGACTGACTTTCCAGTGGAAAGGTTAGCAGTACCCCCTTCACCGTTCCCTGGTCTAGGGGACCCCTGACCCTTGGGCTCCTGGGCCTGGAAGGCCTTTTCAGTATATTCATTGCTTCTTTTGTTTGGATCACCATTTGCCTTTTGGGTAGCCACTACTTGGATATGATTTATAATAGAAAAGATCTTAAAGGCAACTCTCTCAGTCACACTCTTCCTCCTCTTCCACCTCCTCCTCCTCCACTCTTAGGGTGTTTGGGGGCTGGTCCCACCTCTCTCCTCACCAGCTTGATAAATCTTTTACGTGTCTGCAGGCTGGGTGAGGGAACACTTCACATCTCATTTCATCACACACTCCTCCGCTCTGCTCCTTTAAAGTGCCAGCACTCTCCTCTCTTCTCTGCCATCCCACACCGCCCTACCCACCGGAATCCTTCCAGGCTCAGGAGGAGTTCCATCCCCGTCGACACACACACACACACACACACAACACACACACACACACACACACACACACACACACACACACACACAAATACATAAAAAAGCAAGCATTTTTTATATTTATGGAAACCAGTGAACAGGCACAAAGTGAGCATATTTTAACAAGGGAAATCTTATTTCATCATGAGAGCTCATAAACTTCAAAAATAAAATATATATATGTATTAAAAATAAAGCATCATGACCAGCTTGAAGCATTAGTGTCACACCAGTGGCCCTGCAAACACCCCCACCTGCATTTGTCTAGTTTAAAATCTTCTGATGATGAATGGTTTGTCTCTATTCAGGTAAATTTATTCTAGTCATATTTTTTTGTCTGAGAAGCATTCCTAGGCACATACTTTGTTGCATTATATAATCTGTGCACAGTCAGATGGTGCATCCTTACAGCACATGGCCCTGTGACTGTGCAACCTTTATTATTTCAGGACTAGTAGACATGTTAATGGAAATCTAGACACTATAGTTTAGCCATTTTTATGTCAGTATACTATGTGGGCTATGCTCTTATTGGCAAAATAATCCGGGCCCAAGATCCACCTAATAGCTTTTGGCCAGAGCTTTGTTTTCTTCACCATCTTCATCCGTAAATGGAGGCAGAAGTGTTGCACTGAATTGCAAACAATTGTACAGGTGTACCTAATAAAGTGGCTGGTGAGTATATATAAATAATGTCTTGTTCTTTGTCAGGGTTGGTGCGTGAAGCTGACAATGATGTTGATGGTGAACTCTATTATAATGCCAGACAAGGTTAAGCAGAAAACAATATTTTTAATAAGCTGCCGGTCACAAATAACAAAATACAAAAACAGGACTTGAGTAAACAGAATCAAGGTGAACATGAATATAGAGAATGATCTGGTAGCGTCCTGGTGGGGGAAATAATGAATACTGATTAAAGTAAAAAGTCCATAGCTGAGATAGGCTCTAACAGGAAGTAGTGACAAAATAAAAGCATGAAACTGGAAACAGGTGGGACAAAATCATGACAGTTCTTTGTGTACATTTCAAGCTAAACTCAAATGAATTTAAATAAAGTTAGTAAAGGTGGACACACTAGTGGGTCTTACGTGTTAGGAATTATTTTGTGCGTGTGTGTGTGTGTAGTCAGTGGCATCAACCGATTTGTTTATAACAGCTGTTATGTTTTACTGTCGAACATCAAACCAGTAAGAACTGCTAGTAGAATACTTTAGTGACCACCCAGCATTTCTTGCATGTGTGAAGCGTACACATTCACAACTGCCTTTCTTATGAGAACATATTTTCTGAATGTGTGCCATAAAAAATGTCTGTATGTGTATGTATTTGGGTTGGTGGGTGGAAGAAAAGACTGAGAGACGAGATCCAAGGCTGAAATAAGGCCACTGTTATGGTTCTATTAGAAGCTTTAATGGAAGTTCTCCTTGTGTTCCCATTTCCCCCATTTTGCCAGCACCTCTTTATCAACTTACACTGTGTGTGTGTGTGTGAGTTTGTCCAGAACACTTCTTTCATGACAAGTGTGTCCAGGCCCTCAGGACTGCTGTTTTCCACAAAGATACTAATGTGAAGTGACAGGACAGCCAGTGGTACGCTGCTCTGAGGGGACCCGCGCTGTGGAGGAGACACGAGAGTCTGGCTCGTAGTGGACGACAATACAAAAAAAGACCTGAAAAGGATAAAGCTTTTTCTGTGTGAAAGCGTCTTAGGCTGTTGTTTCTTTTTCACACACTTTAGTGCACCTGAGACTTGAGGGCAAAACAGATCCTGTCCTTTTTTACAACAGTCCAAATGACTTAATTCCCCAAATTTATTGTGATGCAGCAGTACTTTCCCTAAGTCACAGTGTAACAAATGTTTCTGTTTTCCAGGCTGAAATATGTTACAACAGAAACAACACAGAATATGTGGCGTTGATGCAAGTAACGCTCGTGGTGGCAAATAGTATATCATAACCTAATCTTAAATCATCTGCAACGGGAGGTGCACCCTTTGGCTCTATGGTATGTTTGTCAAAACAAATTAGCCTACGAAGCAGCAAATAACTACCACTGGCTGTCCATCAAGCATATGAATGCTTTCTTTATTTAAGCTCTTGCTCCTAAAAGTTTAAGAATAAGCATGAGAGCCAGAGCCTCATATAATTTTGTTTTCCCCAGTATTTTGCTATGAAGAAAGTCACAGGCTTAATAAAGAATAAATGCATAGGCTATTATGAAGAGCATGTCAATAATGTATAATGGGATTATGCTTTGGTGAAAAATACTGGGCCCCAGATTGAGCATCTGATGTTATTCTAACACTGACCCCATGAGGGCGCTGGTCTGTGAGGTAGGTTTTAATTGAATGGGTGTCTTGTCTTCACAGATGCATCAAGCCAGACACAAACAGGCAAAGTTCAGGAAATTAGACACGTTCCTTTCAAAATAAAAACACATTAGTTGGATGCCCCTTTGCAGCACATAGCCTCCCCTCAGGTGCAACTGTTAAACTGCATTTTGGAAAAGGCTTCGCATGTTACTTTTTTCAACAAAATAGCCAAACTTAACACTGTCTAGATGGTTTGAATGCAAGCTGGAGATAGACCAAAAGGAGAAGCATGACATCTGAACCAAAGAGTCTTGGGAGCAAACATAATGTTTGCTAAGTGGCCTACATGAGCTACTAATCTGCCCAGTGTGCAAAGTCAATTGAAAGGAAAAAAAATGCCTTAAAGACCAAATGTAAACCCCTTAAAACAGTGAGATTTGTCACAGTTGTTAAATTTGAATCACAAAGACTTTCCAAACAAGTTAAGTTATCATATGAATTTTTGTTTTCATTTCAGACTTGCCTGATATTAGCTCTATACAGTTTATGATCTGACACTTAGACTTGTCTTGTGGAAGTCAGCCTAATATTTAGGCTAATACTTGGGAGGCCAAAATATCACAGAACTAAAAATAATAAAGCACCTCTCAAATAGGCCTACTGTAGTTTAACATGTAAGAGAAGTTGTTTTTCAAAAATCTGATTTACATATATAATTTTTGACCATCAGGTGACATAAAGTAAGTGGCTCAGTAATGCTCTAAGGATTATGTTATTATCGTGCTTTTTTCAGGAGTAGGAATTAATTAAATGGTAAATATACTGTATGAGAAAGTTTCTCAGTGCATGTGCAAGTGTTGCAAATTGCAATAGATGCATCAGTGTTTTATTTTGAAAGCTTTTCACCGAAAACCAATTTCGTTATCCTGTCTCTCTTGACGGTGGTTTCTGTCACATGGTGCTGCCTAACGGAGAGCTGATGGAGCCAGATGAGAGAGGCAGGGGGGGGGCAGCATCCCCTCAAATAGGAATCCGCTGCTGTCACTGGTGCTCTACATACTGAGAGACGGACGACGTTTACCCCCAACAATACTTAAAGGCGATTTCATTTGGCGTGCAGAGGTTTTTCCCCATGTGATCTCAAAGAAGAGAAAGGGGAGGCTATGAGGAGGCTGGAGCTTTGCAAAGAATGATAGTGAGGATCAAGGCGCGCTGTCCCAGGAGAACTCATCTGAAGAACTGACCGTGAGAGATCGGGATGGTCCCCTAACGCACCGGGGGTTGAGTGAGTAGAATACATCCGATCTCTGTCTCTTATATTTGAGTTCCACTTTGGTCACATCTAGGCAATTTCGAACAGTTCTGCATGCCTGTCCGTCTTCATGGCCTCTTAATTATGCCCCACTTCATTCCACATGTCTGATCAATCATTTCCAGGCTTCTTAATAAAGTGCAACATACCAGGTGGGTCAGCGACGTGTGGAAGTTACCACGTTGATTTGGAAATGGTGCACTTTCCCCTGAACACACCCGTAACTTGCATGCGCGCGTCAAGGTTTAATATCATGCAGTGGATTACAGTGTGTGATTGGGAGGTCAATCATGTCCCTTTAAAGTTTTGATTAGAGTGAACATGTGTTGCACACTGTGGTCGCACTGTCAGTGTAGGGCTAATTAATAAAAGCTTTTTTTTAGGGGCTCTCCTATCACAGGCACTCCTCATTAATCCTCTGATGGCCCAGAGGGCGTGGGTTGCTGTACAGTATGTGATGATCAAAGGAAGGCATCAGGCCTACTTACACACAAGGGCTGATTAATTATAGACTTGGAGCTGATGAACTCCCTGACTGTTGGGCGCACAAGAGGATGCATGTCAAACAGAAACACAGGCTTTTAATATCAGTTTATTGCTAATGTGTACTATTACAGTACCTATTTTCCTTATCTGTAATAAGCTACTGAGTGAAATGTTGGCTTTTAATGTGTACTATTACAGTATAAGCTATACATAATAAGCTACTGAGTGAAATGTTGGCTGTGCTGCAAGATGATGTGGGTGTGGGTGTGAGTAGAAGTTCTACAGCAGGCTCAGAGCATGTACATGAATGAAATCCACTCACTATGCAGCAAGAGTTCCCACCTCCAGTGTGCATGTGTGCCTATGTGTGTGTGTGTATTTCACCTCATTACACTCATTGTGTTGACTTAAGCAGCAGGGTCACCCCTGAGGCCTGTTCTCCTGCCTGATTGAGGAGTGATCCCCTGAATTCCACCACGCTCATACTGATTGGAGAGGTAGAGAAGCACACTGGGTCAAGCATTTATTGTTATTTTGACTGAAGCATTACAAATGAATATGATGTGCCAGTGCATTACACAGTCACTGGTACGAAGCTATCCCTCACTCACTACAAGTTAGTTTTGTTGAGCGCTGCTTAACTCTTGTCTCTGCTATTTCAATTTAGCAGTGAAGCTCCAGCTCTGTCCACACACACTTTGCATAGGAGCTTCTTGATTCATGGTTGTACTACAAACGGACAAAAACTATTCTCCCTTCCAGCCTGTGTGCTGCATTTCTCCTGAGGCATTCTCAATATTTTCCCTGTGTATGTATTAAACATCAAGCATGTCTAAATGCGGGCACAAGGCTGAGCACTTTAAGGCAGAGTCAGCCTTCTGTGGAGGGTGACAGAACAGTCAGATGGCCCCCGGGGCAGAGAAGCACCCAAGGCGACAGGACTGGAGCACTCCTTCCTCCTTTCTTTTCCCTCCTTCCTCTCTCTCCTCTCATCCAGTCTCCATCTCGTCGTCCCTTCCCACCTTCATCTGGCAGAAATAAACACACTTTCTCAGGTTCGCCTGCACACCTGCTCCTTGACTTCTTCCCTTTCATTTCCTACACATACAAGTGTAGTTGTCACACCGGCTGTTTTGTCTGAGTAAACAGGGTCTGCACAAACATAATGGGCATATTTGTGTGAGCAGAGCAAGACACACCATGAGCATGAAAGAGAAAATGATTGTGTTTTTAGATTGAGACTGAGATTGTGGTGTATGTGTAAAACACAATGATGGTACACACAGTAAAGAATCAGACAGATCATAGTGCTGGTGACCTTGCCATTGTTTTGACAAAACTGGATGAATTTTAAGTTGATCCTAAATGCTTTGTGGCTGAATTCTGAATCCCCCTTGAAGCCTAAGCTTTGCTACTGAGGCCACAGTGTAGATAAAGGCTTTGTTTTTAAGAACGCTATAACCCAATCAGAAACAGAGAATGTAAAGTAGCTTCCTGTTCAGTGAAACTCTTCTCTTTCAAATAAACACTTTATTAATATTTCCCAGCACATGCTCAGTCATCCCTTCTCACACATAGTCATTCCCTCTTTTCTCATATCATGCTCACATACACACAGTGATGCTTTCACACGCTGCTGTTTTCTTCATACACTTGCATTTTCAATCTTACACTCACACCATCATTCTGTCTTATACACAGCGTAATTATCTCGCACACAAACTACCATTCTATCTCCTATACAGTACATTATACGGAGAGAGCGTACAATGGTGTGTTTGTGAGCAAGAATTGTAATGATTATAAAAATGAACAGGGAGCACAGTGGCTCAGAGTTAATGATGGTTTTGAAAATGTTCATCATTGCCTATTGCCTTTGGTTTTTTGTAAAAGGTGCAGAGTAAATGGTCCGTGATTCCTCAAAGAGTGCGTGTTCACACTCATGTGGGCATGTCAGCTGTGTGCATAATAGCCCAGGGGCTGGGGGGGGGGCTGTAGTTTGGCCAGTCAGCTGGACAGATGCACCTCATCTTGGACTTGGAGCACGGGGGCCTCAGTTTGGCACTGCCACCCAGCATTAGTGCCATGGATCTGTGACCAGTGGGCTCAGGGCACCAAAACTCACTGTCTGCATAAAATGTTCTCAATTTTTCATGCTGTGTTTAGGGTAGTAAGGGAGAAAACAAGGAAATGGGAACTGAAGAAAGCAAGAAAGGAAGGGTGACAGTCAACAAGGCAGGGAATAGATTTTACATAGGTTTCTTGTTTTTACCTCTGTGTAATTCAATGCTGAACTAAGCACTGACAATGAGTACACACAATACCATGTTAAATAAAAAAGATCACTATAGCAACCAGGGACCAAGAAAGTGATGGTGCAGCACATTGTCTCAGTTACTGTCCTCTTAGAAACAAGAATACATGCTCCTGATTTTTCAGTCCGTACATTAAATAGAATTATGCAGAATCCTCCTCATTAATACTCGAGTACCGAGGTATTTTGCATCCATCATTTCAGTATGCACTAAATACATTTCAGGCTAGATGCAGTATTGCTTGCCATGAGAGTAGGAGCACTGTAATTCATAAGTATTGATTCACCTCTCAGCGGCATTACAGCACGATGTCCCTGTACACATCAGAGCAGTCGAAAGAAAGCAACAAAGCAAAAGCAGTGATTTACACAGATGTGCTGTTAACTCCTCATTGTGATACAAATATAATGCAGGAACATATCATAATATGCTGGTCCTGAACAGTGCAACTCCATTATTACACGTGGATATCGCACTGCACTGTAAGCTCCCAAGAAGTTTCTTATTAAGGCGGCAACGGTTTGATCATCAGGCTTTCAATCGGCTGACAGAAAAAGCCAGTCACAGTTTTATTTAATGAGTGAAATATTAAAAAATATACCCTGTTACATAAATACAAGTGTTTGCCTAAGGGGTAACATTCATGGGTGGGATTGTACTCTAAACATGTTCAGACTGAAAGTAAAACCAATTATAGAGGTGGTGCAGTTGCATGCAAACTCAGTGGAAAGATGTATGTGGACAAACACAGATTATGATGCTATCTCATAATTATGCAGAAAAAGCAGAGGAAAGTCATAGAAAGAATTTCAGGTTTCTGGTACGTGTTGAGAGGTCAGCCTGAACTGGAGTTGTCACACCGGCTGTTTTGTCTCAGTAAACAGGGTCTGCACAAACATAATGGGCATATTTGTGTGAGCAGAGCAAGACACACCATGAGCATGAAAAAGAAAATGATTGTGTTTTTAGATTGAGACTGAGATTGTGGTGTATGTGTAAAACACAATGATGGTACACACAGTAAAGAATCAGACAGATCATAGTGCTGGTGACCTTGCCATTGTTTTGACAAAACTGGATGAATTTTAAGTTGATCCTAAATGCTTTGTGGCTGAATTCTGAATCCCCCTTGAAGCCTAAGCTTTGCTACTGAGGCCACAGTGTAGATAAAGGCTTTGTTTTTAAGAACGCTATAACCCAATCAGAAACAGAGAATGTAAAGTAGCTTCCTGTTCAGTGAAACTCTTCTCTTTCAAATAAACACTTTATTAATATTTCCCAGCACATGCTCAGTCATCCCTTCTCACACATAGTCATTCCCTCTTTTCTCATATCATGCTCACATACACACAGTGATGCTTTCACACGCTGCTGTTTTCTTCATACACTTGCATTTTCAATCTTACACTCACACCATCATTCTGTCTTATACACAGCGTAATTATCTCGCACACAAACTACCATTCTATCTCCTATACAGTACATTATACGGAGAGAGCGTACAATGGTGTGTTTGTGAGCAAGAATTGTAATGATTATAAAAATGAACAGGGAGCACAGTGGCTCAGAGTTAATGATGGTTTTGAAAATGTTCATCATTGCCTATTGCCTTTGGTTTTTTGTAAAAGGTGCAGAGTAAATGGTCCGTGATTCCTCAAAGAGTGCGTGTTCACACTCATGTGGGCATGTCAGCTGTGTGCATAATAGCCCAGGGGCTGGGGGGGGGGCTGTAGTTTGGCCAGTCAGCTGGACAGATGCACCTCATCTTGGACTTGGAGCACGGGGGCCTCAGTTTGGCACTGCCACCCAGCATTAGTGCCATGGATCTGTGACCAGTGGGCTCAGGGCACCAAAACTCACTGTCTGCATAAAATGTTCTCAATTTTTCATGCTGTGTTTAGGGTAGTAAGGGAGAAAACAAGGAAATGGGAACTGAAGAAAGCAAGAAAGGAAGGGTGACAGTCAACAAGGCAGGGAATAGATTTTACATAGGTTTCTTGTTTTTACCTCTGTGTAATTCAATGCTGAACTAAGCACTGACAATGAGTACACACAATACCATGTTAAATAAAAAAGATCACTATAGCAACCAGGGACCAAGAAAGTGATGGTGCAGCACATTGTCTCAGTTACTGTCCTCTTAGAAACAAGAATACATGCTCCTGATTTTTC